CAATAATGGCCAGTTGCATGTGCCTTTAACAATTCTGTGTTCAAAAGATCGTGTTTCATGCATGCAAAATGGCTTGATGCATGTGCGTTGACAATTTTGTGTTCAAAAGATTATGTTTCAAGTATGCAAAATGGTTTGTTGCATGTGCATTAACAATTCTGAATGCAAAGATCCTGTCTTGAGTAAGCACAGTGGCTTGTTGCATGCTCAGAACGTGATCTTTTGCACACAGATTTGTGCTGCAAATCTAACCCATATACCGACTCAATATTCCGTTTCAGTTGCAAATACGTCATCATACTGAAAAAAGGTCGCATCAACATCCTGTTTAAATATAAAAAATTGTGTATCATGATAAAAATAAAAAGATCCTTTATTTTATGACAGACAGTGATTTAATATACAATATATAAATCCTTTTATTGGCTCAGAATCATACAAGCGGTTGCTACTGAAGTACGTATAAGTAGTGTTGTTTTGTAGAGGGAAACATAAGTAAGTGTGCACTTTTAATATATAGAACATTATTTATTGCCCATTGGCCCTTTGGTATAAACAGGTCTTTACATTACTTATTTATTTTGCTTCTTTTTGTCATAAGTCAATAAGTAAAATATTATATTCCAACATAGATTTTGTCATGTATTTTGGTAAAGTGTTCTACCAAACGGTCATTTACTTTTGTTTTCATGCTGTAGACTCTTAATCATATTGGTAAGAACATGTAAACTTACAGTGTTTACATGCTGACAACATCTGAAGTGTTATTTATTTAGGGAGGAGCATCTTTACAAACTTAAATTTAGGTCTGTCAGGATATTTATTTTTCGCTGAATGATAAATGAGCGATAAACAATATTATAGTCATTTTAAGATCATTTTATGCCACTCGTTCTATAATGCCTGAATAGCAATATAATATAATCATAATGCAAGTACACTCTTTCAAAGAACACATAGTATTTTATTTATTTATTTATTTATTTATTTATTTATTTATTTAACTTTTATTTAAGATTTTTTAATATATTTTTTTACAGAACAAACCCCTTCCCAAACAATTTAACCCCTTAGTCATGAGGGTATACATAAAAAAATATCTTTAAAATTATAATAAAGAAAAAAATCAATTAAAAGAAAATAATAACAATAAAAAATAATTAAATAAAAGGTATTGCCATCATAATTACTTTACAGGGAATACATTTGTACATCAAGTTGCATTGTAGTCACCTCAAATTACAGTAATGATAGGTTAGTACTTTATTCCTAACAGTATTTAATTTAATTATAGTCATTTTAACAATTCAATAATTGGGCATTGGAATTAGAATGTAAAAATGCGTATGCGAAATAAATAATAATAATAAATGTTAACATACAAGTGCAAGCTAAAAAGTTACAGAGGCTGCAATATCTGCTACCAGATCTAATGTCATTTGTCAGACACCCACTATAGTGATTTATAGTAAAATCTATACTGTTTTTTATCATACTGACACCTCCAACAGAAATAGAGATATTGCACAAAAATGATTGCGGTCAAGTCCATGTGTTGTCCGATAAGTCCATATATAGACTATTGCGATAGGCCTACTTACAAATGAATAAATACTAAAAATGTGTCATTTTCAAAATATTGCATTCAGTTATCATACCAGCATTATGTTTTCTGTCACATATACTGTTTACACTTTATTTTGATGGTTTGTTTTTTGAATTTAGGTTACAGTGCATCTACCGGCCAACTAATTCTCATTAGAATATAAGTAGACTGTTAGGTTGGGGTTGGGGTTAGTGTAAGTTGACATGTACTTGCAAAGTTTCTTATAGTCAGTTAAATGCCTGTTGAATGTCTGTACCAACAGATATTAGGCAGACAGCCTACTAATACTCCAACGGACCAGCAAAATAAAGTGTTGCCCATTTACTTAATGTATTTTTTACATTTACGCAATATAACATCATTATTTTGTTTTAAATTGTTAATTGTAATTTATGAATAAGTTCATGCATACCAGTAACTTGATAACGTAATAATGTTTACATTTTATTGAGTTCAATACATTCAAATTGTTCATTTCTGCAGAGATAATTTGAAATGTGCAAACGTGTAGATTTCATATGGCCAATATTATGCGCTAAGAACATTGTATAGTTTTGATTTGTTTTTGTTATTATTTTGTATTTATGTTTTTGTTTTGTTGTTGTTATTTTTGTCATATAAACGTTCCTCGCAAGTCTGTACACAAAGTTTTGCTTTAGTTAGCTATTTTTCTTTTGATTTTGTTTTGCATTTTGTATTCATTAAAATTCACAATTTCTATGCATAAAGTTTCATATAGTGTGTGTTTAGTGTGTTGTTTTATTTTACAACCACAAACTAAGTGTACTTGACAAACCACCTGCAGAAAACACACTCTTTCATCTCTCTGACACTTTAACCGACACATTTGCACCAGACACTTTCTTACAAAAACATACACTGTACAGCTATGAAGTGTGCTTCACACAGGTAAAAACCATAGACTGTAAAAGATATGGATGTAGTATCAGTGACGTCACCTATAGGGCTTTTTTGAAGAATGCAAAAGAAGCTAAAAGTAGGCGTGGCCAACCGTCAACATTTTGTTCGTGCGTCATCGCACCCACCGGGGGATACCAAATAAGGGCAAAGAGTCAGTACCAATAGCCTAGTGGTTAAGTGCGCCGACATATAGCACCATGGTGCTCACGGCGACCCGAGTTTGATTCCCGGCTCGAGGTCCTATGCCAACCCTTCCCCTCTTTCTGGTCCTAATACTTTCCTGTCTGTCCTCCACTATCCTATCCCAATAAAAGGTGAAAAACCCCTAAAACATAATAAAACAAAAATAATAATAAGGGCAAAGAAGCGGAGCTACAGACGCCTGCTAACATTTTGCTTAGACGTGTTTTTCTTTGGGAGAAATGCTTACTTCATTACCTGTGACTCGTTTGTGTTCTGACCACATATGCTTGGTTGTACACTATATCAATATGTGTGTAGTCTTTTTAAAACACTGCTGGAATACATCAAATCACAAAAAATTGCGCCCATGACATTTTTCTACTGGAGGAAAACACTAATTACTTCCAAACACTACAGATATAGTCTGTGTTAGTAAACGCAAGGCTATTTATGAAAACCAGGCATAACAGACAACATTTCAGATGACTGTTCTAGAGCCTACAGCTAATCAATCTGTCAGATTCTGGAGTGCATTAAAGCTCTGAAGAAAAACATAAATGATGAATGATCTTAAATAAAGCAAATGCATTTATAGAGATGGTATATAAGTATATTATTTCACTTACCTGGGAAATAGAGACCACGTGAATGGTTTGTGAGCACAATTAATTGAAATATTTTCAAAAGGCAACTGACTGTGTAAAGCCACATAAAACAACACAAAAATATGATGTAAATGCAGAGTTCAGCGGCTAATCAGCCGGAATCAGCTTAGGTGAAGTGACGGAGACCAGCGAGACCTACCTGTCACTCAAGTAATTATGCAGACTTAATATAACAATATAAAGGAAATGGATGAGTTATAAAAAATTCACCCCCCTCAAAGTTGTCATGAAGCGTAATCTTAGCTACATGAATCAAAATTGTTTTTTGTACCAGGCTGTAAACAGCTTTTTTATGCTGTAAAGTTGGCCGTTTTAACACTGGGGTCAATGGAAATTTGCTCTGTTATGCTGCGTTCACACCAGACGCGGTACGCGCGTCAAGCGCGAGTGATTTACATGTTAAGTCAATGCAAACGCGCGAATAGACATCCTGCGGCGCGATACTCGCGAATGGCGTGGCGCGAATGACGCAAATTGCGTGAATGGCGCGGGGCAAATTGAGCGTTTTGCGCGTTTGACGCGCTTAACGAGCGTTTCGCGCGAATCTCTCGAATTCGAAAATCTGAACTTCAGCGTACATTTGCGCCGCGTTAACCTATCAGAAGCTTGCTCTTGTGGGGGCGTGATTGTGACGTAGAACCTGTTGTCGGTGTTCCGAGGGAAATGCTCCAGCCTTCACCGACAACAGTTCATTAAACTCGGCTTGGCCCAGTCAGAGGTCATCCAGTCATCCAGATTAAGTTTCTGGAGGAGTTTATGAGCTCACAGAGCTGGATGCACCTCTGAAAGGATGTAGTGGACTCAGACACGACCCTAAACGTATCGACACTGTTTTTCAGTCTTCATAAAGCACATAAACACTGTTATTTTCTTCATAAAATCCATGTTAGCCTTTTAGCTATGAAGCTAGAGTCACAGGGCAGACAGAAGCCCTGCCCATCACGCGAATCCGTGTCTGTTCTGAAGTGAATTTGACATGCGAATGAAGCGGGTTTTGACGCGCGAATGAAGCGAGTAAACTCAAATGTTCACGCGGCTATTTACACGCGAATAGCTCGATTTATCCGCGCGTTCCGCGTCTGGTGTAAACACAGCATTATGGAGCCAGGACTAGAGGGACTTCGATGAATTGCAGTTTCAGTTACTTCCGTATTTGCTTACCAAGGGAGAGCGGGAGGTTGCCGCTTGGTAAAAACACTCTACACAGTTAGAAAAAAACCTTCCTCTAGCACTAATTCTCTGAGCACTATAGTTCCTGTATAGTTAGCACTTCTTGTGCCTCTTCTTGTTGAATCGCTGAATGCCTCCTCAATTGTAAGTCACATCAGACAAAAGCTTAAATGACTAAATATAAATGTATTGTGTATCTTATATAGTATTTGCTTATCCCTAGTAAGTATTTAATTTATTTGTGTTGTATTTTGTTTTCCCTTATTCCCCTTCCTTTACTATGTTTTGTACTGTATTTGAAAGTCCGAAAACAAAGTATTGTTTGTGTTTTTATTGCTTGGTACTTTATATTCCTCGATTGCCCCTATATAGTTCTTAGTAAGCAGTTATTTTATCTTCGGCTCTGGGTAATTTCAGACACATGACCTATTGTTTGTCTTCTCCTTTATCTTCAGATCTCACGATGATGTCTTTATATGAACCCTGATCCGCTGTTTGCACCGCAGCACGTTTGGGCCACGATGTCTCTTTCACAGCAGGTTCTGGTGAACTATGAATACACCTACACTGCCCGAGATGGCAGAAACGTGTCCATTAAACCCAATGAGCACTACATATTAGTAAACAAGACCAACGAGGAATGGTGGCACGTCCAAAAGGATGCAGCAGACAAACCTTTTTACATCCCAGCGAAATACGTGACCGAACTCCCACCTGAGACCAGCCAAACTCCACTGGACCCTCCGGAAGAGTTTAGCGGATATGAATCCCTCCAGTTCGGCTCACAGACAGCTGATCCTGCTGAGGTCACGCTTCGAGTTCCTGACTCTATAAAACGAGACACAGAGAAAGACGGTCATAGGATATCAACATTTATTATTCCAAAGGAATTCTTCGAACTCAAGGGTTTGGATCCTGACCCCATAAAGACTGAAGCAGAGGCTGGTCCTCCTGTATCCTCCAACACTTCTTCTCCAACCAATGGAGAAACAGCATTTATTATTCTGCCTCCGCCTGTATATACAGTTAACACAACACAGTCCACGGAGACAGACACCAGATCAGTGGATGATCCTAAAGATTCAGTAGGGAGGCCGCGTGTGGACTCAAGCACCATTGATGAAGACATTCAGATGCTCAATAGAGCTGGCTGGAGTGAAGTATTGGACGTCATGGGTAAAGAGAAGAATGTGTATGAGAGTTTGGATACAGTGAGAGAACCGGAATCCCCAAAAGATGAAGCTGACATGACTGTAAACACAACCCCTGTCACACCAGATGCGCCTATGGTAAGTGATACAGCATGTAAAGTTTTCAGGTTACCAAGGTCAGATGGAATCTGCAGACATTTTTATTGTTATTTCTGTAGAAAATTTTGTAAAAGAGAAAGATTGATGCAGAATGTAAAAAATCAAACATAAATAATAAATAATATCTTTCTAACTTTTATTTTAAGTTTACGATGCTAGTCCAATTAGATCCACATAATCAGGGTTCATACGGTCATGGAAAACCTGGAAAAGTCATGGAACTTTGCAACCCAGGCTCATTGTGGAAACGTAGTCCACGTTTCTGGAGACCGCGGAATACGTCCTGGCAGGTACGTACGGCTGCAGTTTTTGTTTTTGCGCTGTTCTCGCGTGAACCCACCAGAGGCCGTTGTCTGACTGACCGGATGATTGACTGCGCGACCGGCCAATCGGCTGACCCGCCCTCCTCCTTCCCTGAACCCAACCAATTTTACCAATTGACCCGCCCGCCCGCTCGCTTTCCTAAACCCGAGCAACAGTTTACAAAAGCCGTCCGAAAAAAGAAAAGCCCTGATTTTTTTTTTCTACCGCGTTTTCAGATTTCACCGTGTTCTCACCGTGTTACGAAACTCGTTCACTTAATTTTTGGGATTCTGTTTTTGTCTTACCTGATTGCTTGAACCGCTCTTCCCCGGACTCGAATTCGTTCGCTTGAAAAAAAATAAACGCAGCCGTACGTTCCTCCCGGGACGTATTCCGCTGTCTCCAGAAACGTTCGCGGGACTACGTTTTCAGAATGAGATTGGGTTGGAACTTTGACATGGTATTATCCAGTCGTGGAAAACTTTTGTAGAAACTGAAAAACCCACAAAGTTTTGAAAAAGTCATGAAAGTTTGTTAAACTAATATCTGTGTACTTGAATTAGGGCTGCGAGATATTGGAAAAATCTGACATTACTGTATTTAGTATTTCTGTGATAAATATTGCGATGTGAATACAATTTCACCAGATGATTTAACAGGTTTATGTGGATTGATTGGGGGATTTTGTAAAGGAGTGAATCATGAATAATATGCAACAAATAAATTACAAGCATAGATAAATACAATATAGTAAAGATAAAAGTGAATTATAGTTTTCAGGTATTCACTAATCAGGTACAGATATTGAATAATCAACACTGCATTGTCTTCATTTTATATTATATAATCTTCATTATAATTACAAGAAAATTTCTTGTGGTTGGATGTTTTAAACTCTGAAATATTAAAATGTTCACACAGTCACAGGCTTAAAGGGATGGTTTACCCAAAGATTCAAATGTACTCACTGTTTACTCACACTTCACTTGTTTCAATACTATAGGAGTTATTCAATTATATTCTTTTTGTGTTCATTAAAAAAATGAAAACTCATAAATGTTTGAAACGAGTGAAGGGTGTAATAAAATGGGATGTAATGTTTATGTGAACTATCTCTTTAAAAATGCATGCAGATGATCAACTTTTACTCCATTATGATAAAACTCTATATTAAACTATAATCCCAATATTGCTGCGACGTGACACATTGAGATATCGATGCAGAAACTAAATATTGTGCATCCCTAACTTGAATATAGGTTAGTTGTCTTTACTTTTGTCTGTCCTTGGCCAGAAACTTACTCTCACATTGTTTGTGCTGTGTAAGCATTATCAAAATCAATTTAAAAACAAATTTAAACAAAATAGATAGTTGCGTGTTTTGTGATATGCTGTAATAGATTTAAACGTCATTGTTTTTCCTATTATTTACCATGGATATATAGACATTACATGAAACATTATACATCATAAAAATCGGTAACACTTTACAATAAGGTTCATTAGTTAATGGATTTACTAACATGAACTTATCATGAACAACACATGTACAGCATTTATTAATCATAATTGAACATTTACTAATGCATTATTAACATCCAAGTTCATGCTTGTTAACATTAGTTAATGAACCATGAGTTAACATGAACTAACAATGAACAACTGTATTTTCATTAACTAACATTTACTAACATGAATAAATACTGTAGTAAATGTATTGTTCATTATTTGTTCATGTTAGTAAATGCATTAATTACCATTAACTAATGAACCTTATTGTTCTAAATCTACTAGACAGTTCTGGAAAAGTCATGGAATTTTAGTAGTGAAAATGTGTAGGAAACCTGTATAATACGGTGCTCAGCATTTATAACTACACCTCTCACAAATCTCTCTTTTGAATTCATATTTTTTAATAGGACGCTCTACAATATTTTATTTGTGCACATACATTATAGTCAGTACTGAAGCCAAATCTGGAGCTAATCTAACAAAATTGCTTATAATATCGTTCCAAAAACTAGTACACACATTTATGTTGATTAGAAAAAAAACTAATTAAAAATATTATTACCAAAAATATTTTTTTCATATTTTTAAAAATACTAAATGCACATTTTAAAAAGAGGAAAAATTAGAGAAGCATATAATTTTAAAAGTTTAATTGAAATTTTGTAGGTTTTAGTTTATTTTATTTTTTGCTATTTTTTGCTTGAATTTAATTGTATTATCTTTCAATTTCTAAATATGTTTGGAGACTGAAATATGATTTTAATAAATATATCTGTTTTATTTAAATGGACCAAAATACATTGCCTATATTCACTGAGAAATTGATTCAAATATTCATTTTCTAAATGGGGTGTACTCAATTATCTACTAAAATACAGAAAATATTTCTTTACAAACTGTATTGTAAATGAATATTATAAAAATGTGCATATTATTAAATAATATTACTGAAATTAATTTAAAAACTGAACATATATTTATATACATAAGTAAATAAAACGATTCAGTGGTGGGCCAAAATGTCTGCAGATTACTTTGTGGGTCAGAATTTTTTTGAAGTAAAAGATATAAATACAGATATTTCAAATAAACAATGTTTTCACTTGTAAGGACAAGACTGTAATATTATTAAAGGAATAATAATCCAAAAATCTATTTAATCTGTTTACTCACTTTCCTTACTCAATTATAATTGTTTTATTCTGTCGAACACAAGATATTTTGAAAAAAGATGAAAACCTGTAACCATTGTAGGAAAAACAAACACTATGGAAGTAAATTGTATTTTTTTTAAAGTATCTTTGTTTGTTTTCAACAGATGAAAGAATATCAAATATGTTTTAAACAAGTAAAACAGAGTAAAGAGTGTTATAGTTGTCTGAAGAATGAGTCAATAAAAACACACTGGCTGTATCTCAAATAAAAGCTGCCTCAAAGTATTCACTTTACTACTGGGCTTTCTAAAAATGCTACCGAAGAGTTATTTTCTATATGGTTCAAATAGCAAAAGTCTATTTCTATTTATTACGGGCGACTAATCAAAAAAGACTTTACAAGAAAGACATATTTAAGGGACAGGTCACCTAAAACTTACTCGGCCTTTACTTGTTCCAAACCTGTCTGACATTCGTTTTTCTGTTGAACACTAAAGAAGATATTTTGAACAGCAAACCTGTAAGCATTTGATTTTCATTGAGTATTTGTACACCATTGAGTATTTGTTTTTCCCACTATGGAAGTCAATAGTTACAGGTTTTCTTCTTTAGTGTTTAACAGATGAAAGAAACAGAATAAAGAAACTCATAAATGTGGATAAATGTGCCTTTAACAGAATAATCTGATATCATATGGAGATATTGTTTGTATCTTTTAACATTTTACTCAAGGTGTCTGATTGGAGGAACTGATTGAGTTACATGTGTGATTTCAAGACTGTATTTTATTGTCACCTTTTTAGGAGCTGCACACCAAAAAGCTATTTTTTAATAATGTGCCACTTTTACTGACTATAAACCTTACAAATAAGGTCCATACTTTTATCATTATGGTTTACTTCAAACTTTAATTTTCCCACACGGGGGCGCTGTCTTATTAGAATTGATTTACAAAAGCAAAACCACACTTGTTTAAATCACCGTTTTTTTTTAATTGTTTCAAGCATACATACATGCAAACTAAATGGTATATACAGTATTACATACTGTCATCTCAAGGTTGAGTAATAAAATAGGCAAACAAAAATAACAGTTTTTAAATAAATTGCAATAAAATACATAAAATTACAGAAAAAAAAAATAATAATAAAGGGGCCTTGAAAATTACAGGGGGCTAATAATTCGGGGGGTGAATAATTCTGACTTCAACTGTATGCATGTATGTATATATATATTTATTAGTCTTTTTTTTTTTTTTTTTTTAATTAAAAGATTAGTCATGTCAAATATTAGATTTGGATTTTTTTTAAATCCCATTACCCATTACATAATACTAACCCACCAGGCATTTTTGTGTTTAAAAGACATCTAATCGACATCAAAACATAGATGAATTAGTTTAAACAAAGCTAAATTTGTACTGTCTGCGAAAGTCTGACAAGTTATCAAGTAGACAAATTGGCCCACATTTAACCTTGTTTTAGCCAAGACATCTATGTTTGGATATCTATTAGACATCTTTAAGCACAAAACAAATTCTTAGCATTTATAGCTAATAGTTTGTCTGTAACAGGGTCAAAAAATAATAGGTTAAGGCGTTTAAGATAGCATAATTGTGACATTTTAAGATTATTTAAGACTTTATTTTTATATTAAGGTTAGAACATGAATTCTAGACATACAAATCAGCGCATATTTAATTAAGTAGCCTAATGCATAGTTTGCATATTTAAAGATAACGTTTTTAAAAAAACTCATAATACAGTAATGCAATTTATAGTCTTTTAGATGTGGACGTGGGCTATTGTGATAGTTATTATTATTGTTTTGCTGTTGATTTTTACCCTATTCATTTTTAGTCTTTATGACGTTTTATGTTTGTTGGAATGACCCCTCATACGCCCAGATAGCTGTATTCTGGACCTTATGTATTAGCTATGTTTCGACCCTGATCAAGCCCCCAGTCAGACTCCACCATTTCTGGAGCTCATGCCAAGTGATCTGCATGTC